GCTCAGCTCTGGCCATTGCAGTCATTTGGGAAGTGAACCACCGGAATGGAAGACCTCTCTCTCTGGCTCTACTTCTCTGTAATTCTGTCTTTCAAATAAGTAAAATAATTCTTTAAAAAAAAAAGAAAGGAGAGTAGTTACCCACAGAGGATGGGAGGGTTTTGCCCCACAGCCTCTGGGTCTGCGCAGCGACGCTCCAAGCCCTGCGGGAGCTGCTGGACAGCCTGACCCACGTGGCAGAGCAGCGTGTACAGCAGCCTGCACCTGTCGCACAGCCTTCTCTTCTGGGCCACCCTCAAAGCCACAGCTTGTCAGGCCGCTCGGCAAATGTGCAGCACACTTAGCGGCACCCTGAAGTGGTGAGTGTGATGTCTCCAAACTTCAGAGGCCTATTGGCTGGGTGTTACGCTTCTCTGTGAGTCATAGGAGGGGTCAGATTAACATACTTATCCTTTCCTTAAACAGGAACTCATGAGATGCCCCGCACCATTGCATCCCTAAAATCTCACAGAAAACTCCTGAATTTTTGGCAAATGTTATTTGCTGCTCTCTTCCATGCAAATGTCTTACTGATGTGTCTAGAGTGGTAGCTACTTCACACTCCCTAGTCCCATCAGCAAATGTGATCAGTGCAGCACATCCTGCAGTTTCTTCCGCCTCAGTTCTGCGCTGAACCCCTTTCCCCTGATGACACCAGGCCCACCCCTATTCTGCAGGATAACCTCCTTTCCATAAAATCAACTGTCGGTGAATGTTAACCTCATCTACGGAACACCTTCACAGAAACACCTAGATTCGTGTTTGACTGAATAACCAGGCTGGTGGTGTGGCTGCTGCCTGCAACACAGGCATCCCATATCAAAGCACTGGTTCGATTCCCAGATGTTCCACTTCAGATCCAGCTCCCTGCTAATACTCCTGTGGAAATGGCCCACATAGCAGTATCTTCCTTTAAATCGTGCTTACAGCATTGCCATTCAATGCAATTATTGATATGAGTACAATTAAATCTGCCATTTTCCTATTTGCTTTATATTTGTTCTGTGTCTTTGATTCTTCTTTCCATCTTTTCTACCTTATTTTGGATTAATTAGAATCTTAAGAATTTTTTAGTTATTTATGAGAGAGAGAGAGAGAGAGAGAGAGAGAGAGAGATCCCATCTGCTGTTTCATTCCCTAAATGCCTGCAATAGCTGGTATTGGACTGAAGCTAGAAACTCAATCCAGGACTCCCACATGAGTGGCAAGAATCCAACTACTTGAGCCATCACCACTGCCTCCCAAGATCTGCATTAGCAGGAAGCTGGAATCAGGAGCTGGAGTAGGGAATCCAACCATGCACTTAGATGAGAGATGCAGATGTCCTAATTATTAGGCTAAACACTCACCCCTAATGAGTAATTTTTTAATGATTCCATTTTATATACTGTGTTGGCATATTAGCTGTAACTTTAAAAAAAAAAAAGCCGGCGCCACGGCTCACTAGGCTAATCCTCCGCCTTGCGGCGCCGGCACACCAGGTTCTAGTCCCGGTCGGGGCGCCGGATTCTGTCCCGGTTGCCCCTCTTCCAGGCCAGCTCTCTGCTGTGGCCAGGGAGTGCAGTGGAGGATGGCCCAAGTGCTTGGGCCCTGCACCCCATGGGAGACCAGGAGAAGTACCTGGCTCCTGCCATTGGATCAGCGCGGTGCGCCGGACGCAGCGCGCCAGCCGCGGCGGCCATTGGAGGGTGAACCAACGGCAAAGGAAGACCTTTCTCTCTGTCTCTCTCTCTCACTGTCCACTCTGCCTGTCAAAAAAAAAAAAAAAAAGATTGATTTTATTTATTTGAAAGGCAGAGTGGCCAAGAGGAAGATACAGAGAAAGGGAGATCTTCCATCTGTTGGTTCACTCCCCAGGCCTAGCTGAAGCCAGGAGCCTGGAATGCCATCCTGGTCTTCTGTGGGGGTGCAGGGACCCAAGCACTTGGGCCGTCTTCTGCTGCTTTCCTTCCCTGCTTTCTAGCGGGGAGCTAGGTCAGAAGCAAAGTAGCTGGGACTCGAACCAGCACTCCAGTATGGGATGCCAGTGCTGCAGGTGGCAGTTTTAACCCACTGAGCCACAACACCGATCCCTATAACCTTTTTTATTTCAGTGATTGCTTTAGGATTTAGAACAACTTTAACTTATCACAGTTGTACTTAACTGTGCCCCCGTTATGTACTGCCCCGTGTGCCTATAACACCCTTCCAGTCTTTCTGCCACTGATGTCACACGTTAGTTCTACATGTATTATAAGCTCCACATACATATACATGTACAATTATTTTGTTGGTTTTTACTGGCCAATTATCTTTTAAATGTATTGAAGTAATAGTTAAAAAGTCTCTTGTACTTACTTAGCCACGCAGTTACCATTTGCCGTTTTCTGTTTCTTCTGTGTGTATCCCCGTGTCAGTCAGGCGCTATTTTCCTTTCACCCGGAGGATGTCATTCAACATTTCTTGCAGTGACTGTCAACTACTGACGACTGATTCCAAGTTCTGAATGTCTGGAAAGTGCTCCTTTCACCTTCTATTTTGCAAGATTTATTTTCTGGGTGTAGAAACAAAGGTTGGCAGCTTTAAAGATACTCTTCCTTGCCGGCGCCATGGCCCAGTGGGTTAAAGCCCTGGCCTGAAGCGCCAGCATCCCATATGGGTGCTGGTTCTAGTCCCGGTTGCTCCTCTTCCGATCTAGCTCTCTGCTATGGCCTGGGAAAGCAGTAGAAGATGGCCCAAGTGCTTGGTCCCCTGCACCCACATGGGAGACCCGGAGGAAGCTCTTGGCTCCTGGCTCCTGGCTTCAGATCAGCACAGCTCTGGTCGTTGCAGCCAACTGTGTACCAGCAGATGGAAGACCTCTCTCTCTCTCTCTCTCTCTCTCTCTCTCTCTCTGCCTCTCCTCTCTCTGTTTAACTCTGACTTTCAAATAAATGAATAAGTCTTTTAAAAAAAGATACTCTTCCACTGCCTTCATTCTGAGGATTGGTTTCAGTTGATTGAGTTTCTTATTATTGTGGTTTGCATTCTCCTGCTTTATATGCTTGGTGATTTTTGACTAAATGGCAGACATCTTGAATTTTACCTGGTTAGGTAATGGATGTTTTTTGCTTGCCTGTAAATATTTTTGAACTTTATATGATATAGTATTTTATGACTTTTGTTTAAAAAAGGACTTTTTAAAAATATTTATTTATTTATTTGGAAGGAAGAGAGAGAGAGAGAGAGAGAGAGAGAGAGAATGTTCCACCCCAGATGGCAGCAATGGCAGGGGCTGGTCCATGCTGAAGCCAGGAGGCTAGCAATACATCCAGGTCTCCCACATAGGTGACAGGGTCCCAAAACACTTCCCAGGCACATTAGCAGGAAACTGGATCAGAAGTGGGGCAAGGGGCAGGCACTGTGGCACGGCAGGTTAAAGCCCTGGCCTGAAGCACCGGCATCCCATATGGGCACCAATTCTAGTCCTGGCTGCTCCTCTTCCGATCTGGCTCTCTGCTATGGCTTAGGAAAGCAGTAGAAGATGACCCAAGTTCTTGAGCCCCTGCACCCACATGGGAGACCCGGAAGAAGCTTCTGGCTCCTGGCTTTGGATCAGAGCAGCTCCGGCCATTGCGGCCATCTGGGGAGTGAACCAGCGGATGGAAGACCTCTCTCTCTGTCTCTACCTCTCTCTGTAACTCTGTCATTCAAATAAATAAAATAAATCTTAAAAAAAAAAAAGAAGTGGGGAAGCTGGGACTTGAACCAGTGCTCTGATACGGGATGCCAGCATTGCAGGTGGCAGCTTAGCCTGCTGTGCCGCAACACCAGCCCTAAACAAAGGATTCTTTAAACAACACAGAAAAAGAAAAGCCACCATGAAAGAAACAATTGATACATTTGATTTCATCAACATTTAAAGCTGATCACAGGACAGACAAGAACAGTTCAAAGGCAAGTAGAGCTGGCTGGTAAACACTTGGTGTGAATATTAGAAAAAGACAAATTTCTCAATGAAAACATAAGCAGAGGATATAAACGGGCAATTCCTAGAACAGAAAAGCAAACACAGTAACAGCAATAATGATGATGAAGACGACGATAGCTCTTGTATATTCAGAGTTTATACACTGCCAGGCAAATCAAAGCACTTCACATCTATTATTTCATTGAATCCTCACCTAAACAAAGGAGGTAAAAAAAAAAAAAAACTGTTATACTAATTCTGTAGGCGAGGAAACTCTGGCACATAACAATTACCGATTTGTCCACAGATTGCCACACAGCTAGTAAGTGGCAAAGCCTGAATGTGAAGCCAGCAAGTCCGGCTACAGAGCCTGCACTTTTAGCTACTATTTGATGCACAAGACTATAAACTCATCCTCACTAGAAGACAGGAAAATGTAATATAGTATGCTTTTAAGAAAAAGATGAGATATGTGGATGAGATATGTGTTCAAAAATAAGTTATATTGCCAAGTTTGAAATGTGTGAGTGTGGGGAAACGGATTCTCTCCTATGCTGCTAGTAAGGGTACAACTGGTAAGTTTGTGTAACAGTATAGATTAAAATGATAAATGTATGTACCTTGGCATCCAGCAATTTCACCTCTTGGGCTCTGCTCTAAAGACACCTGCCAGTGTGCAACGGGAGAAGGTGGTGCAGACGGCCGACTGGTACAGCATCAGATGTAGTCAACCAGTAGAGGAAGGGCTACCTTTGGTAGATTCGCAGGCCAACATGCAGCAAGTGTAAGGGATAAAGCCGGGCTCTGAGAGGTTTGCTAAGAGAACACATGTTGCAGAACAGATACAGAATTATTCTGGTACTTTAAAAGACACAACATAATGCATGCATGCAAAAAACAAGGGACTTCGCTGTCCACGGGCGCTGAGGTGGACGGGCTCTGATGAATCCCAGTGACACGCACAGCCTGGTGTTCATGCCTTTGTGCAATGTCCCGACAAACACAATGTAAGCTGAAAATATGGTGCGTCAAGATGCGCCTGGTCCACCCGACCTACCAAAACCCTGCTTCCCACCAGCAGGCTGTGAAGTGTGGCCGTCCACCTTTGTCCCCGCTGATGCTCAGCAGCACCCGAGATGTCGTACTGCATGTTGCTAGCCTAAGACAAGACCGGACAGCAAACTGGAAGTCTGTTGCCATCGAAGTCATGTAACGTTGGTACCATTGTAAGACTGGACAATCCTATCTTGAGGGGCTGGCGTTGTGGCGCAGCAAGTTAAGCCTCTGTTTGTGATGCCGGCATCCCACATCAGAGTGCCAGCTCCAGTCCCGGCTCTTCCACTTCCTACCCAACTTCCTGCTAACGCACCTGGCACAGCAGTGGGAAATGGCCCAAGCGCTGGGGCCTTTGCCATCCATTTGCGGGACTCTTCTGGCTTCAGCCTGGCTCAGCCCTGGTTGTTGTGGGCATTTGGGGAGTGACTTAACAGATGGAAGATTGGTCTCTCTCTCTCCCTCCCTCCCTCCCTCTCGCTCGCTCACTCGCTCGCTCTCTCCTGCCACCCCGCTCTGCCTTTCCAATAAATACATTTTTAAAAAGAAAATAATGCCATGCTGAACCACCCTAAGTTAGAGGACCACATGTATGTATAGTTCTCTTTCATAGTAATTAGGGCTGACCCGTGGAACCAAAGGCGTATTGAAGACATGCTCACGCTTCACTTCCAAAGCTAAAACACGCTGGCGTCTGCCATGCTTTCTTGAACCACTTGTTCTGGCAGAAGCCAGCTACCGCACTGTGAGTACACTCAAGCAGCCATATGGAGAAGTTCCCAGAGAAAGAAGCAGCAGATAACACAAGACACCCAGTTCAATTTGCATTTCAGAGAAGCAGTGAGTAACTGCTTTAGGATAAAGAATATGCCCATGCAACATTTGGGTCATACTTACGCTAACAGATTATTTGGTGTTTATCTGAAATGCAAAGCTAACAAGGCATTCTGTATTTGTATTTGCTAAACATGGCAGCCTGAGAAACACAGAAGTGAGTCCTGCCCACAGCTGGCTCCAACTCCTCACCCACATGAGTGAGATACTGGGGAAGTCCCAGTCGACTGGCCGAATGACTGCAGCCCTTGCACACATCTTGACTACAACCTCGAGAGACAGCCTGAGCCAGGGCCACCCACCCAGACCGCTGTAGAATCCCTGACCCAGACACGGTGTGAAGTGGGAAGTACTGTTATCACTCTGAAGCACTACGTTTTGGAAAAGGATGGAAAAATAACACTGCTGCGCCAGTGTTAAGAGAATGTCTCCCAGCTGAATGTACAGAGAAACGGAAGCAGTGTTTCCTGCGATGGGTACTGTTCAGCCGTGAGGAGTGGAGGACTGATTCACGCTTGTGCTGGGGCTGAGCACCGAGACCATGCTGAACGGAAGAAGCCAGACGGAAAAGGCCCTATAAGGCCTTCGAGGAAATGAATGCTTGTTGTCTTAAGCTACTAAATGTTGGTAGCTTGTCACACAGCAATAGACAACACGCTCAGTTTGTAAGGATTTGTGTGACTGAGGGAACGTTTGTGGCCTGCCTGGCACGTAGCTGCACAGCATGATCAATAGTAGCAGGGGCACAGGCGCTGGCACAGTGGTGAGGACGCTGTCAGGACCCCTGCTTCCCACATCACAGTGCCTGCTTCAAGTCCTGGCTCCCCCTTCCCGCCAGTGCCAACCCTGGGCAGCAGGTGACGGCTCAAGGACTTGGGTCCCTGCCACCCACATGGGGAACCAGACTGAGTTCCAGGCTGCTTCAACTTGGCTTCAACTTGGCCCGGCCCTAGCTGTCGTATGCAGTCAGGGAGCAAACCAGTGGATGCAAGACCTCTGTCTGTCTCTCAGACTCTTTGTTTTTCTCTCTCTGCCTTTCAAATAAAATGAAGAAAAAAAATTACACAACAGCTAGTCTGAGTGGGAACAGTTACAGAGAATCTTACGGGAAAGAAGGGCCAAGGAGAGGGGAGCAGGGCAGAGCCCTAGCACCTGCCCCAGCTAGACAGAGGTGCTCCAGAGGAAAAGGATGCATACACACACTCACACACCACACATACACCACACACCACACCACACATCACATCACATCACACACCACATACACCACACACCACACCACACATCACATATCACACCACACATACACCACACACCACACCACACATCACATCACATCACATCACACCACACATACACCACACACCACACTACGCATCACATCACATCACATCACACCACACATACACCACACACCACACCACACATCACACCACACATCACACCACACATCACATATCACACCACACCACACATCACATATCACACCACACATATACCACACACCATACTACACACCATATCACATCACACCACACCACACCACACTATACCACACACCACACCACACCTCACATATCACACCACATCACACCACACACCACACATCACACATCACATCACACCACACGCCACATACACACACCACACCTCACACACAAACCATACACACCACACCACACATATCCCATACCACATATACACTATATACCACACACACATCATACCACATCTCACACACACACCACACACACCACACACATACACTATACGCCACACACACTACACATATACTATACCACACATACACACCATACACCACACACTACATACCACACCACACATGCACACCACACATATCACACACACTCCATATCACACACACACCACATGTCACACACACACACCACACATACACTACACACCACACACATTACACACACACCACACATATACCACACATACTGCACACACCACACCACACACACACTACACATATACCACATCACACATCCACCACACATATGCCATACCACACACACACTTTCCATTGTCCTTTAATTTACATCTATCTTCCTTAAGATACTACCACTTTGTCCACTGTGTGGAGTTATATAAATATTAGCTATACACTCTGTAACTAGTATTTAGTCACTCTATAACTAGTATCTGGTAGTTATTAGAAAGCCTTGTCTTAATTACTTCGATACTTCTAATGCAGTGCCCTCTACCCGCAGCAGGTACTCAGTGCACATCTGTGAAAAGGATGGATGAATGAGAACCTGAGAAATAGCTATTAAACGCAAAATCAGTGACCCACGTATATGGAAAGAGCTCACTTCTAGGAGTCCACCTGAAGGGAGGACGTGGGAGAGCCACACCTCTCGAGCCAGTCCTCAAGGAGAGGACGAGTCACGCCCTGGAATAGCGTGCAGCTCCTCAAAAAGAATGACCTGGAAGTCCCTACCCACCGACCTGAAAGGTTAAGATTGAGATTAGCAAGTGGCAGAGACATGTGCATGGCATGATCTTATGCTGTTAAAGAATGACCAAAGCGCCCTCTAAATCCAGTGTGGGTGCCTGGCCGTGACTGTGTGAGGGCAAAGGGAGTGCACGGAAGGGCGGGGAGAGTCATCGTCTATCCTTCCTATAGGGTTGTCTCCTATACAGGATGCAATGAACATAGGCGACTTTGTGATTGTTTTGGAAGAGTTGAGTAAAATTCCCAAGGAAACCAACTGTAGGACCTTATGCCTAATTGTTGCCACCCGCAGCTGTCTGGTCACGCACACTGGATATTCTGTGGGTGAGTCAGGGAAGGGGAAGGCGGACCCCCCACCAGCCTCCTGCCCTCTTGAGTAAACCAGGTGACCACAGTCCACTTCCCGCAGGGAATCCCTACTTCCCTCAAAGCCACCAGACCGCACCCCTGCCTGCAGGGAAGGTCTGGGTGTAAAAAGAGGGATTAGCTTCCTCCTGCCCTGCTTCTGGCCCGGGAGGGACCCCCCTCCCTGCTGCACAGGGAGAGGGCCCCACCCCTTCCCACCCAGAGGGAAAATTTCCCAGGGCCGGGGCCACCGCCCCTTTCTGGGGTAAGGAAATTCTAGCAGTGCCTCTCTGGTCTGTTGGTGCAAAGAGGGAAAATTGCTCGGGACTCCTGGCGTTGCTAAGTCAATTTGGTTATAGCACTATTTAAGCATGTGGTAAAACCAGGTGCAAATAGATGCGTACAGCTATCAGACTAAAAGCAAATCTACACGCTAAACACAGACAGAACTGCAAAACCTGTACAATTTCAAGTGAGCCACACGAAGGTGCTTTCCCCCCTCCTTTCTGTAATGAAACCCCACCTCCAGCCGGAAAGGTGGGCCACCAGCCTCAGCCCTGGCGCAGCTGGCCCGGGTTCCTCGCCTTCCCGGTGCCGTGCTGGCAAGAGGGTCCCTCCCTTCTCCCTCACTCTGCTTTCCCACGAGCTGAAGCCCTACAAGTCTTCCCTTCCGACAGTGCCTCTTGGGGTCACTTGGTTGTCACGCGGTGTGAATGCATCATTTAAGCCTCGGCCTCTCGGTTTCCCCTTGCTCTAGCTCTGAATAATTAAAGCAGTCAAAGCCAGCAGTAAACACACACAGAGGTGCTGTAATTGCTGGTTTAAGGTCACCAGCCCGAGTTCATTAAAAAGGCTTTCAGTTGAAAGCACAACACAGTTCTCTTAGTGGTTCTTGTACCCCCGCGAGAACGGGAGTTCAAGCTGCCCCGGTGTGGGGAAGAGCTGCGGCCCCCCTTCCCATCTGTCCCTGAAGGCAGGATCAAGGCGCTTCCAAGTCATGCGGTTACTTGGCCAGGCCCCTTGTGGCAGCCTCGGTTTTCCTCATCTGTAAAGGGGGAGTAAGAACTATGACCTCGAGGAGGAAGCGCTGATGTAGGCACAAGCACATTTGTCGGTTTTGCAGTCCTGGGGCTGCTTGCCGTGGGCCAGGCACGCAGATCTGCTCCCCATCTCCGACCAAGCGTTTAGGTCTCTGTCTGAAGTCACAATTCAATCAATCAATCTACATAAACTTATTGATCATCTCCAAGTGCCCTGTGCTGTACAGGCTAGCAAGAAGCAAATCGATACTTGCCAACTATGTACTTTTATGATCTCTGAGCACCACAGCCCGGGTATGTATGTATTTTTATATATTTGTTCTTTTAATTGACAAATGAAATTGTACAGACTTACAGTGTACAGTGTGATGTTTTGATATGTGAAATTATCATGAACAGGAGCCCTAGTTTTAATTTTTCATCAAAATTTTGTTTTGAGGTTTATATTACTTATT